ATATATATATATATACAATAGAATTAAGATACCATTATGTAAATGATCATATTCACCTTGTAAATGATCATTTACATAATGGTATCTTAATTCTGATTGTATGAAATATATTACTCTGTTTAGTTAATAACATGGAGCTCTATGAATGAATCAGTCTTAATATTTAATATTTTATATTGTGTTAATAGGAATATCTTGGATTATATGCCAATGGATTACTACCTCTCTCTTTTCTCTCTGACTCTCTCTCTCTATATATATATGTGTGTATATATATATATATATATATATATATATATATATATATATATATATATATATATATACACACAACACACACACACACATACCCCCACACATATATATATATATATATATATATATATATATATATATATATATATATATTGTTTATGCAAACTTAGGTAATCCGTATGGGTAGACCTGAGGAGGATGATATCCAGAGAGCTCAATGTAAAATTCAGAGCAGATATGTTTGAATAAAAGACAGACCACGTTAAGATTCTATGTAATAAGCTATTTCACCATAACTCCTTTAACAGGTTCTGGATCATCATATATATATATATATATATATATATATATATATATATATATATATATATATATATATATTTGAACGTATGTATTCTTTTCTTTTCCTCCTTTCTATATATTTATTTGAAATATTTTATCAGATTGGTGGTTAAAAGAGTGTAAGAGTTTTTCTTAGAATATAATTAATCTCGAAGGGTATTCTAAGTGAGACACTTAATACCTACTCCATTCATCTGAGATAGTCTCAAAGTTCATTTCGATTAACAAACATCTGTCTCATTAGCGTTCTATCCGCGTACACACAAACAAACAAAAGAAGAAACCACGCACATACATACATATATATAAGCGTGCCTCTTTATGGAGGATATATCTACAAAACATATATATATATATATATATATATATATATATATATATATATATATATATATATAAGCGAAATGTCAATCTAATGCTGGAATTTAACCATTGTGATTAAAACAAGCAAAGATTGCATTTAAGATGGCTAAACTACGCATTATATAATTATTTTTTCTTGTCTTTTGCCGTATATTCTTATATATATATATACATACACACACACAAACTTATATATATATGTGTGTGTATGTGTGTGTGTGTGTACCTTTTTTGAGCAAAAAAAAGCGTAGTATAATGAAAAATGCCCTAAACTTGATGAAAACAAAGTTATATCGTCAAAATGTTTATGTTATTATTAAGAGGAAAGACCAAAGTATATTTTGCTTATTTTATTAAATTGTTTAAGCCTTTTTATAACGTTCAAATTTTTGCTTAAAAATCTTGTTTTTCTTATGTGTAGGACAAACATCAGTGTGGGAAATTTCGAGATCTTTTTTGCGTTAAAAACACATTGTTTTGGAAATTCTTGCAAAAAATTAAATTTTTAATAAGATTTTTAATTCATTCAAAGAATGAAATTGTTTTATAAAAATGTATTATTTTTAAAGATTCCCCCTTATATAATTTTAGATGGATATTTTTAGTTAAAGTGAAATGTAAATCATCTATTCAATTAAAAACAAACATTTCGGAAATTTGAAAATCCTAAAATAGTAAATGCAATAAAACTGATATTATTTAATGAGAAAAGATTTTAATTGTGTTTCTAAATAAGTTATATTAAGGACACTATTGTCTTATGAATTTGTAATCCGATGTAAAATGAATTTTTTACAAGAATTGTTTTCATTTCTTTTTAATTTTAATAATAATAATTCATGAAGTATGAAATCTTATAATGTATGTATTACTTTAAGTCTGTTAGATGATATTATTATTAAGTGAAAATTATATTTACTAAGCAAACGCTGAAGCATTATAAGAAAATTTTTGAAAGAATTATGAATGATAACCACATTTTAAATTATACACCAACATAACCAGAAAAATTTTTAAAAAATCAATAAAAAAAAAAATTAATAAAAGATTTTCCTAAATTTTTCATATTGCTGGACTTTTAAAAATTATTTAAAAAGTGTTTACGTCGTTTTCTTCAATTATGTTTTATTACAAAAACTTGCTTGAACAACTACATTAGACCTGTCATCAGGCTGTCAAACATGTCAACACGTCTACTATCTGGTCATAAATGTATTTCTGAAATATTTTAAAATTAAAGTAAATAATATTTGTTTCAAAGCAGGTTAATTATACTTTAAATCAGCTAATATTCGTCAAATAAATTTTCACTAAAGTATATTTTTTTAATAAAGAGAATTACATTCGAATGAAATACAACCAAAAAGAGCGCTAATCAAATATTTTAGCGAAAATACCCCCTTCCAGACAATTTAAATTAATTTTTGAAATGTAGCAAAATATTTTGTTTATTGAAAATATTAACTTTAATCTAATATCTTTTAATTAAAAGTAAAACAAATACTTCAAGAAAAAATCTTATATTAAGGTCTGTTGAGTATAGTTGCCATATAAACTACAGCTGGGCTCTGTGGGTGTTGAATAAACACAAATGCGTCTGAACAAGCGTCTGCATTAGGGATTTGCTAGCCGCCCTAGTAGACTGGTATCCTCGAATACGAGTGGGCTATATATATATATATATATATATATATATATATATATATATATATATATATATATATATATATATACACACACACACACACACACACACACACACATATATATATATATATATATATATATATATATATATATATATATATATATATATATACACATATATATTTGTAGATAGTAAGGATGGACTCGGGTGAGTAAAACCTTCCGGCGTGACAGAGAGAACCAACATTCCTTGCGGTAGATGAAGCTTTTAATTCAATGTAGTTGTTCCACCTGAGGTCAGTGGAAAGCGTGAGACCAAGCAGGCGCAGAGAAATACTCTCATGGAATTGGGCATCAGCCATGCTGATAGGAGGCAGTGAGGGTTTTCTATAGTGGGTAATTGAGAGCAGTTTCGTTTTGGAGGAATTAAAGTTTAAATGACACTTCCTGCCCCAGTCAACCATTAATCAGAGTTCCTTTTCAATACCAATGCCAGGTTAGTTTTATCTGCAATGCCTGATTTACTATTAATTAGGATTAAATAGTAGTGTCGTCTGCGTAGATGCCTACTTGTGAACTGATGACATCAGGAAGATCGTTGATGAAGATCAGGAACAGAGTAGGGCCCAGGAGAGAGAATTGGGGAACATTATCGTTCGTATGAAAGGAACTGAGGGAGAACCCGTTTAGGACGACCTTCATTTCACGATTTGACAGGAATGACTGGATTAAATGAAATAATCGTCCTGTAATACTGTATCGCTGAAGCTTACGTAGAAGGCCAGCATGCCAAACCCTACCAAATGCCTTAGAGATATCTAGAGTCATAGCTCGAGCTTCGCCGTTATTGTCAAGAGCTTGGTATACAAATTCACTTTGTCCGTGAATACGTCAACGGTAGATCGAGCAAAGCGTAAACCATATGGTTTGTCAGAGAGTAGATCATGGTATTTAAGGTGCTTAACCATTTCGGCGTTGATTAAAACCTCGAAGGCTTTGCTGAAGAGCGGTAGGAGACTGATAGGGCGGTAGTTAGATGTGTCAGAAGGGTTTTCAGAATTCTTAAAAACAGGCACCACAGATGAGGACTTCTAACAGATTGAAAAGCAAGATCCAATGAAGCAATAGTTATATAGTTTAGGGAGAAATGGAGGAAGCTCAGGAGGATATTTCTTTAGGACTACGGCTGGTATCCCGTCACCACCACTTGCTTTATAAGAGTCTAATTTAGAGATGATGTCCAATACCGTTGACGGGGTTATGCTTATCTCACTCAATAGAGTCTCAGTTCTAGGATGAAAATCAGGTATGGGTACTCCGGATGAGTCGGGCATTGAACTGGGTCAGTATTTCCGAGCAAAGCATTCAGCCTTATCAACTGATTGAATAGAGAACGCATTGTGAATTTAGTGTTGTTCAGCACACTCTTGCAGAGCCGCTAATAATCTTTCAAACCAAACTTGCGTTGTTTCATTCTAGCATCAAACAGTAACTTTGCTTCATTGAGGACACGCTTGCACACGAGCAGAGACAAAGTGACGCCGCTTCGGTACAGGCGGAAGAAGTGATTCCTATTGGCTACAGCAGATGAGCAAACAGCTGAGAATCAAGGAGATGAGCACGATTTAACTTTTTATTTTCTTGCTGGGATGAAAGCCATGATGGCAGCTTTTGGCCAGGAGGAGACCTCAGACGCACATTTTTGACAAAATTCCAGGGAACATCGCGAAGAAAATCACAGAATGAATCCCAGTCTGCGCGTTGATACCTGAAAGATATTCTGTTAGTAAGGGGTTCTTAGCTGAGGGGAGTAGAAAGAGATGTTAATAGACACTACGGCATGATCAGAGTTGCTAAGAGAGCAGAGTTGTGTAGCGCGACAATAGTCAGTGATGGAGGTAAAACAGAGATCGAGAAGAGAAGTTTTATCGTCAGGGTTACTGGGAAAACGTGTAGGCAATCAACCACTTGTATGAGGGAGTGAGTGATTGAAAAGTTAAAGGTTTCTATGCCGGATAGATCAGTTACAGAGTGTTTAAGCCACATGGTATGCTGGGCGTTAAAGTCGTGTATGTGCGCAATCATTTCTAATATACAACAGTTCAAATTTTAATCAAACAATTGGTCGATTTTGCTGTTACATGATTTGGACAGTTTTGCTGTTACATGATTTGGACAGTTTTGCTGTTACATGATTTGGACAGTTTTGCTGTTACACTCAGTATATATGTGTCTGTGTGTGTGTGTGTGTGTGTTTCTGTGATTAATGGCTGATCGAGTTGACTAATTCTTTTTCATTTTTGCAATATTATATTGGCTTATCGCTAAAATTCACGCCTCTCTACTTTTTCTCGCTTTCGTTAATGTGAACGCAAAAGAAATTTAAATTGCTCATGTATATCTATCTATCTATCTATCTATCTATCTATCTATCTTTGTCTATTTCTAACTATATCTGTCAATATATTTGTCGTGTTTGTTTACATATTTCTGCCTGTCTATATATCACTGTCGTTTTATCTATCTATCTATCTATCTATCTATCTCTGTCTGTATATCTATCAATGTTAATTTATTTGTGTCTGTCTCTATCTATATGTATGTTAGTCTCTCGATGTATCAATCTTTTTTCTCTATCTCTCTCTCTCTCTCTCTATATATATATATATATATATATATATATATATATATATACTTATTGTATACATTTTTCATATAAGTGATGCCATTTTCCTCTCGTCAGGACAATGTACAGTTTGATGAAGAGTTTAAAATTTGCCCACAGGTGTAGACCGACATTTTTGATTCAAAGATGACATTGATTGCTTTTCACACTTAAACTAAACGCACACGTATATGTACTCATAAGCAATGTATGCACACACACACACACACACACACACACACACACACACATATATATATATATATATATATATATAATTCCACATATATACACGCGCATATATATATATATATATATATATATATATATATATATATATATATATATATTGCGTTTCTTACAATGAAACCCACATTAACGTTTAAATACTATTTGTTTTCTTTCGCATTTTTAAAAGGTATTCGTCTAATACTCTAAGACAGAACTAGGCTACCTGGAGGACATATTCAAAACAAAATATATTTTTATTTGCTTTTCATAGTTTCGTACTTTCTTCCTGCTCGACATTTTCCGATTTTCTGTCATATATTTTTCTTTAAGCACTCAGTAATATCCAGCACCATTCTAATTGAGTTCCTCCTCTTCTTGTTTTTCTTCGTCGATTGATGCATAGATACATACATACATACACACATATGTATATATGTATATTTATATGTGTGTATACACACACATATATATATATATATATATATATATATATATATGTTATCATGTTATTAATTTTATTTTATCTCCTTATTATCATTTTATAATTTTCTTTTCCATTTTCCTCTATTCCATCACCTTTTAAATCTTTCTCAGTCACCTTTTACCATTTCTATTATCTATTTCTCCTCCTTTATTTTTCTTACTCTTTCCTTTTACCATTTCATTCATTTTTCTCTTCGTATTCGCCCTTCTCTTAACTTCCATGTTTTTTTCTCTTCTCTCTGCTTTCTTTTCCTCTTTTTAGTTAACCTTATTTTATCTTACTCCTCTTCTTTCTCTTAATTTTTTTATATATCCCCTTTTTCATCTTCTTGCTCTTTCAACCTTTTTTCTAATCCTCTTATTCTCCTTTGCTTCTCTTTTCCCCACCCCACTCTTTTTCTCTTCATCTTCTCTTTACGCTACTGCTTAATTGTCTTTCATCATTAAGTAGCTCTCTCTCATCCTATTCCCCTTATAATAATCTCCCTATCCTATTCTTTCTCATCGATTCATCTCCCCCTAGCCCCTATATCCACCTACTGCATTCGTTCCAGTCTCTATAAAAAGTAAATAGCTTCGTAATAATTCATCTTTCATCATTTTTTTTTCTCTATGTCGGTATTTATTGTCATTTTAAGCGGTTTCATTATTTGTTCTCTTTTGTTTTATTATTAAACCACATAAAAACAATTAAGTTTTCTCACCCGTCTCAGAAGAGCACAAAAAAGCTCGACTCAAAGCTATCACCGATGACAAAATATCCAGTTTTACCATCATCAGACCTTGTCAGCCAACGCCGTAAATGCGAAACAACTTAAAACGACAACAAGTGATTGACTAAGAGGCTTATTTGCACCATAAAAAAGCAACCAGGAAGAAAACGGCTGCTTTTGTTGCTGCTGTTTGGTTATATATTCCATTCACTGCGCTTATTTTCGTTTCTTTCTTGTTTCTTTCTGTACAGGATGTCACTTTTGTCGACAGAATAAATGTTGCCTCGGGGTTGGCCCATCTGTCTTTCATTTTTCTTTAATCTACCGTTTTCTTAGATGTAATGGAAGGGCAACACTTTCGGATTAGGAAAATTGTGAAGAGAAAAGCAATCTCTAAAACGCAGCTCGGAAGTCAAGTGCAGCGATTTTTGGCAAACTCACCGGAAGTTTGACGCCGCCATTTTGCACGTAAAGAATAACAAATAGTAAAATATTACTGAAATATTACATGTAGATTTTTCTCATCATATTCTATAGTAACTGTTTGAATTAGTCATTTTCCCTAATACATACATACATATATATATATATATATATCTATACGTATGTATGTATGTCTGTGCCATATATATATATATATATATATATATATATATATATATATATATATGCGAATATATATATATATATATATATGTATATATATATGTGTGTATACATATCTATATTTAAATTTTGTATGTTTATAGGGAGGATGTATCAATTAACATAATGAGTGCTTTTTATATATAGACAATTTAGGTGTAGAAATTGACATCAGTACATATATATATATATATATATATATATAGATAGATAGATAGATAGATAGATAGATAGATAGATAGATAGATAGATAGATTGCGGGAGGAATGCTTCCCAGAAATAATTCACACTTAATTCTAAGACGTTCTCTAGAAGAACACATTTGCACTAATGTCTTAGTATTATGTGGGAGTTATTTTTTGAATATATTAAAAAAAGTGGAGACAGAGGTCAACACAAAATGACGAAAGTTTGTTTCATACCTGACCGCAATCATCGGCCCATGACCCACGCTCTATCTCTGATATTGAGCACTTTTACTCATAATCATAGCAGCCCTTAACGATATATATAGTCTCAAATAATTTCCGTTTGTTTTTATCTAATTTATACTCAAAAATAAAATAGAATGGCAATTTAATCAATTATGGTCACTGATGGAATCTATGTGGTATGGTATCTATACACTTACCTTCCAAGCACCGATATAAAGAACGCATGTCATCAAGAACGACATAACTTCGTGTTTATGCGCGACAGAGTTCAAGTTCAATCTGTGTCATGCGGCTTCACTCTGCGTCCTTTAGCTCCGTTACCATAGCAACATGCCGGACACGTTTTGATCAGACCTCTTATATTCGTTATTATTTGCAATGACCGATAACATTTGAGTAAAATTTGTCAGATTTTCATACGAAAAATTATTCAACGTCCTCTTACTTGAATCAGGTTTTAATTAGAGAATGTTTTACCGAGCAAAGTGTTAACAGTGATCCAAACATTTGTGCAAGGTCAGGTGAATATGGCGTGTTGAGTAGAACTGAGTCCCAAAATTTTTATCTAGTGTGAATCTTCCTATGTACGATCTTGCGTTGCCATGTAGTATTTTTTTTTTACTATAGACGAGCGTCGAGCACTTTTCGTTAAAACCTTCATGAACACGTTGCAGCTTTCTGATGTACCAATGTGTATTTACTGATTGTTATGGCATCTTAACCATAATAATAATAATGGACTATTCCATAATTAATAAATACTGCGCCTCAGGAGTAGGCAAGGAGTCCGCCGCTCACATTCTGAGCGACGGTTCGGTTCAACTCTCTGTCTACGGACGGAGAGGAACCCGAAGGAGGCTACGCCGAAGGGCGGAGTCTCCTTCGGGGAGGTAAAACCGGCCCCTGAACCCGTTTATACGGTTTCAAATGGGCTATTTTTGGCCGAGCCTAATGGCTCGGAAATGCCCACGTTAAAAAGGCCTTGTGCCACATGACGCCCTCGTGGGGGACGACTAAATATAGTCCGCCGCTCACTTTCTGAGTGAACGGGAACCCGGTTTAGTCTCTCTGAACCCGTTTCGGCGAGAGGAACCCGAATGGAGGCTACGCCGAAGGGGCGAGTCCCCTGGGGGGGACGGTAAATAGTCCGCCGCTCACTTTCCCTGAACCCGTTTATACGGGTTCAAATGGCTACGCCGAAGGGCGGAGCCGAGCCGGTTTTTAATGGCTGGCCGAGAAATGCCCACGTTAAAAAAGGCCTTGTGCCACATGACGCCCTCGTGGGGGACGACTAAATATAGTCCGCCGCTCACTTTCTGAGCGAACGGTTCGGTTTAACTCTCTGCTTTCGGGCGGGAGGAACCCGAAGGAGGCTACGCCGAAGGGCGGAGTCTCCTTCGGGGAGGTAAACTCGGCCCTGAACCCGTTTATACGGGTTCAAATGGGCTATTTTTTTGGCCGAGCCTAATGGCTCGGAAATGCCCACGTTAAAAAGGCCCTTGTGCCACATGACGCCCTCGTGGGGGACGACTAAATATAGTCCGCCGCTCACTTTCTGAGCGAACGGTTCGGTTTAATTCTCTGCTTTCGGGCGGGAGGAACCTGAAGGAGGCTACGCCGAAGGGCGGAGTCTCCTTCGGGAGGTAAACCGGCCCTGAACCCGTTTATACGGTTTCAAATGGGCTATTTTTTGGCCGAGCCTAATGGCTCGGAAATTCCCACGTTAAAAAGGTCTTGTGCCACATGACGCCCTCGTGGGGGACGACTAAATATAGTCCGTCGCTCAAGAGTTGAGCGAACGGTTCGGTTTAACTCTCTGCTTTCGGGCGGGAGGAACCTGAAGGAGGCTACGCCGAAGGGCGGAGTCTCCTTGGGGAGGTAAACCGTCCCTGAACCCGTTTATACGGTTTCAAATGGGTTATTTTTGGCCGAGCCTAATGGCTCGGAAATGCCCACGTTAAAAAGGCCTTGTGCCACATGACGCCCTCGTTGGGGGACGACTAAATATAGTCCGCCGCTCACTTTCTGAGCGAACGGTTCGGTTTAACTCTCTGCTTTCGGGCGGGAGGAACCCGAAGGAGGCTACGCCGAAGGGCGGAGTCTCCTTCGGGGAGGTAAAACCGGCCCTGAACCCGTTTATACGGGTTCAAATGGGCTATTTTTTTGGCCGAGCCTAATGGCTCGGAAATGCCCACGTTAAAAAGGCCTTGTGCCACATGACGCCCTGTGGCACCATGCATAATTAGAAAACTGAAAAGAGATGTTCATAAATATATATTTGTTATTTCGGTTTGTTAACCATTTGAGAATTATTTAGAGCTGAAAAATATTTCGGGGTTGAGAATAATTCTTTAATTGCGTTCAGACGATCTGGGAGAAAGAAAGAAAAGAAAAGGAAGGAAAGAAAGGAGAAAAATAGATAATACGAAACCAGGTCGTAAGCGAAAACACACACGCTCGACTGGCACATATCAGATGTCAAAAATATCAGGTCACGCACCGACCTATTTCGGTGTCCGCGGAGGATGGGAGTTTGTTATCAATTTGGCTGAAGAAATAAAATTTTAGGGACAATGAAAAAAAAATATTGATAAGTAACAAATGAAAAGGATGTCATTGAGATGATAGGTAACAGATGAGGAAGTGTATCTAAGGATATGAAAACAAAGCATTAATACAAGAACCCAGACGATTCCAGAATTGAAAGGAGGGCCACACAAGGTGATGTAGAAAATGCTTTTTGAGATAATTAAGATTTTTGTTAACAAGCTCCGAGCGAAAGAAAAAGGTGAAATATTTGTATTAGCTCGCGAGAACGCCACGCAGTCTAAGAAATTCCTTTCTTAGATCGTATCCAATTAGCGGTAGGCTGTTTGACAGATACCACGTGTAAAAAGAACCGATAGCGTCATTCGATCACATACGAAAAGGACAATTTAAATTTTGTTTTTTAACAAGGTGTTTCTTCCCCAGAACAAAGCCACGGATTGTCCACGCCCGATTAGAGACGTCACGAAGGAAGGAGGAAAGATACCGACCAGAGTCTCATTGGCCGAGGGCGGTCACGTGATGCGAGGGAGGAGGAAAGATGCCCGACCAGGACCCCATTGGTCGAGAGCGGTCACCTGACATACGAGGGACCAGGGAAGCGGGTATACGCCTCCCCAGAGGCACAGTAAGGAAGTAGGAGGAAAGTAAGTTACCGATAATGGAAAATCCCTAATCAGAAATAATACGTCTTTGGAATTATCAAGAAAACCCTGGCGCCGACAGAAAACCCCAGTTTTTGACTGCCTCAATAAAAGCAGGACCCCAATCGACAGAAATCATTTGCAGTTACGCCGCGGACAGCGAGGGAGCTTGAGCGCGGGCTGCGGGCCCGGTTCATTCGCCCCCTTGCGGACAAGAGAAGTTAAAATTGCAGTTGGGGGTTGCGCCTCGGACGAAGTTGGAGTTGGAGTTGCAGCGCGGACGGCGGGCCCTGTTCATTAGTCCCCTTTGCGGCAAG